ATGATTTCGTTACATAGCAACTCACATGAAACGAACTTACTCTACCGTGCGTAAAGAAGTTTCACTTCAAAAAGAAAAGTATATAGTCGAGATTAGATATCAACCCACAAACACCTTCATTAGAGGTAATAGCTTAGCAGCTGCGATACAGTCAGAATGTGCCCAAAAACATGCAATATTCCATGTAAGAAATCACAACAGGAGTGAGCTTGGTCTGAGCTTGTCCAATATATCCCATGCAGAAAATCACAACAGGGTTAAGGTTGGTCCGAGCTTGACCCAAGATTGTCCAAACATGTTAAATGCCTGGTTTGTTACTTCGACCCAAGCCAGGTCGACAAACTAGTGCCAATATCAATGAACAAAATTAATCCGATCAGGCAGCTAATGTTACGTCAAGATACAGTGTTAATCTTATCTGCGTTTAAAATTTTTGAAACGTTTCGCGATATTAATTCGTTGCAAGATTATTGAATTTTATGGAGTTAGATTATTGATTATTAAAATTTTAATAAAATACTTTAGTAATTTTTTTTAATGTAAGTAAACATTTTATAAAATTTATTTGTAGGAAATTCGTATTTTATTGAACATTACTCATGATCAGGAGTATTTGGAATTTTGATTCACGCTCGATACTGTACTGATTAACCAATACTTTGTTGGTCAATATTGGGCGGCATAACTTGGCAAAACATCATTGTGACGAACTTTGGCACTAGAAGATTGTCCAAACATTGCTCCAATCGAATATTAACAAACGTATACTTGGTTGCCTAATACCGGACTCAACTGGCGAAACGTTAAACGTTAACGCCACTTGAAGATTGACCGAACTATGAATAGCCAATCTGAACTATAGTAGTTTAGGTAATAAACATCTTCAGAGGCAGTTGTAATGTTATTTATTCTGAGCTTTGCAAACTATCATCTTAGTTCATCATAATTGGAATATGGAATAAGGACATTTTATGCGCATCTGACGGTATTAAAAATAATAAATAAACTAGAGAGCACTTTAAAATCAAGCAATCATATGTACAATAATCATACATTAACGAACGATAACTTAAATTGTGGCCTTCAGGATCCCTTATTTTTATTTTTTGTTTTAAATTTCTGTTTCCTCGTACGATAACTTTTAGGATAATACATTCAGCGTCATTATTCTTGTGCTTACTAAATATTTCTTAGACTTATCTCATAAAATACTAAAAGCAAAAGAGTTTCACAAAAGGAAGTAATAAAGAACGTCTGAACTACTTAGCAGTCTGCACTAAGACTTATATATAACGTATATAGGGACATAATGCTTTGTTGGACAATTACGAATATAGATGTATGCCTATAAGGAAGTCACGACTACATACTCCTTAAACTCAAAGGTTAATAATTCAACGTTATTACTCTGCAACTTGCCACAGAAAAATGCACCACTGTCAAGACCGAATACGGTCACAACTACATACTAGAAATAACAAAAAAGTCACCCGTAGAATAGTGTTATCGTTCACCTATAAAATGGAAGCGGTATTGGCCAAACAGTATTGTATGAAAATAAATAAAAGTAAAATAAAAATACTGGTATGCAAGGGAAAAAACAATAAGGAAAGAGCGATTATAAAGATAGGATACGAAAAATTAGAAGAAGTGGCTGATTTTAGGTATCTACACTGCAAATGCTAAGTGTGTTATTCGACATACAGACACGTGTTACTGTAACTCACATGAACGTGTAACTTGTTCTTAGTGCGTTAAATTACTATAAATAAGCGTGTTCGTATGTTACTTCAACACATGTAATATTTAGAAATCTGTGTTGAATGTATAACACACTTTTCGAACTCCGTAAGAGCAACACACATATTTTAAGAAAACGTGCTACAGCGATACGTGTAATAGTATTTAACACACTTCAAAGTNAAGGAGTGTAGGGGTATAAAGCAGAGGATAGCATAGGGTCGAATCGCCTTCAATTAAAAGAAGTTACTTCTATGCTGACAAACGATTCATTTAAAAATTTGAAAAAGATTGTTAAAAGTGTATGCTTGCAGCGCGGCGCTGTACAGATGCGAAACAAGTAAAGGTTAGAAGTTCGAAATGTGGAGTTACAGGCGAATGATGAGGATACCGTGGATAGGAAAGGTTAGAAATGAAGAGGTATAATTAACAATAGGAGAACAGAGGACGCTATTGAAGTCAATAAAAAATAGGTGAGATAGGATACCTTCTCAGGCATGAAGGTCTAGTCAGAGACATATTGGAGGCAGAAACAGGAGTTAAGAAGAGTAGAGGTAGACCTAGATTAGATGTTGGGATGTTCTAGTTTTAGAGAAATGCGAAGATTAGCTCAGGATATGAAGGAGTGGAGGTGTGTGTTCATCATTCATAGGACTGACGACTTTATGATGATGACCTATACCAAATTATTATACCAAAAAGAGCACATTAAACGAAGAATTATTAAAAAAAAGCAGCACCACAACTTACAATTAAGCACAGTACCTACTCGCTACATGGCGCTTATTCTATTGCTGATTGGGTTATTAGAAAAAAGGATTTCCCGATGTCTAAAAGCATAAGCTTAGGTTAAGTTAAAGTTCGAATAGGTTTCTTTGTTTAGCATGTGCGAAAAGATATAGAAATGTTTTTCGCATGATAATAACCGTGATTCTGTACCGAGTACCCGGCAAAACCAATACGGTTAATGGTTCATGTTTTCCTTTAGGCGGCCTTTCTACTAAATGCCGCCCTCACCACCGTTGTCAACCACATACCTATAAGTCCCGATAAAAAACTCGTTTAAACACTAACTAATGAAATTTTAATTCTTGGTTAGGACGAGAAATTAATTCTTTTAGTACAAACTTACGAGTTATACAATTTGAAATAAAAAGATTATAGTGACTATAATGTAAATGACAAAATATGGAATAAGGTTTTGTTTTCCCGCTTTTACTGTTTCCTTTTTCTTTTCCATCGCCCCATCTTCTTCCAAAATATAAGAGTAATGAGTAATTACTCTTAGATTAGTAAGAGAATATTTTTTAAATATCGCGACGAAAACGTGCTAAACATTGCCGATGAACTGACGATCATTGTTGTATAATACATTGTGAGAATCAAGCTTTACTCAGCACTGGCGGTAACCCGGCGTCATTATCCGGTACCACGCCGGATCCTTGCGAATCCACATCACGTATCCGGTCCGTCCCTACCTTTAAGGCGGGGGGACATTGGCACTTTTTTTGTCAATGTGTACACACATACACAAAGAGTGCCCCCCCTTCATACATAGTGTGGTTTTTGTCTAGAACTTTAATGCTCAAATCCGCTCATGTTTGCGAAACATTTCTCCAATTAAATCGAAAATTAATCATTAGCAGAGTCTACATTTGAAAATAAAAATCCGAAAAAGTCAATGCCTTGTCTAGACACAAGGAAGTTATAAATACTTAGTCGACAATTATTTAATCACTAGAACAAAATAAAAAGTTACAGTGAATATAGTTATCTTATTTACTGGTATATTCGATTAATTTCCTCTCACACGGACTTCACTCGTTCATTAACAAATAATCATATCGATAATGTACAAAAATCATTTTACAGTTGACTAACAATTTCATAATGGTTATTTACAGGCCATTAATTGATATGTAATTAATAGAAAACTAATGCGACAATTGTGGTGATTGGTAAGTACCATGTGGTTACCGACACTGTTGAATTGAATGCCAGACACTAATTGCTGGCGAGACGGAAAAAATAAGTTCTATAATAACTACTCATTGTAGCACTACATAGATTTGCATGAATTGCAACCATTTAATGTTGGATAATAAAAGCGACATTATGACATTGGCACACTTGTTCACGCACATGTACTACCTGATATTAAGTATCATTGTTATTGTTTGTTAATGCCAAATTATGTGAAAACTTAATTATTATTTCTTGACAGGAAATAAGTCACAAGTACAGAAGTGATATTATCCAAATACTTAAGACGTAAGTTAGGAAAATGGAGCTGTACTTTAAAAGAGTGAAAATTTATAAAGTTGTTGAATTGATTATTTACTAATAATCTAACGCGCATAACAAGCACGTATGAGATAATCAATCATTGATTATCAAAGACTCTTGAGTACGCCTGCAGGTATGGACCGATTGATGGTCGGCAATCTTCATATTAAATACGCGAAGAGTAATAAATCATACCCTGAGTGACGCAAATTTACCTACAATAGGAGTTACGTTTTTTTTTTTTTTGTTTGTTGTTGATAAAAATGAACACTGTTCAGTAGAAATCGATACTAATATAACTAGGTCTCTATACGAAAGCCGGAGTAAATTGGTTACCATATGGATAGGCGATCAGTGATATAAATAAGTAGTAGTCTAAGTGTCTAGTAGTTTAAATATCAGAATTTGATTGTTTGTTGGCGTTAAATTAAATCAATAAATATAAAAAATATTCCATTAAATGTGGTTTTTATAAGATAATTTGCATTTGTATAAAACAATGTTTACCAAGTGATAAAAGTCTTAACTTCTATTAATTCGCAAATAGTGCAAGCTAGTATTCAAAGTCTTATTTTGTGATATTCTTACGAACAAAGGTCCTTTTTTGCATTGGATTCGTTGCCCTACAATTTTAAATATAATAACTTTTTTGCCTTTTATGGGAAAATCATCCCAGAAAAAAGAATAAACAGTTACTGAACTTTACAAATGTCCAGTTTTGAAATACCCATATATTTGTCATTAATTAGCATGTTTTGCCAAGTACTAAATGTGAACTTCCTGTAAATTATTAGTGCCGTTTAAAACTTGCTAATTTATATTTGAGATAACGTAGATATATGTCTTCTAACTAGTATCCGGCTCCGTTTTTTATTTTCAAAAGACGGATTGAGATTTTATTCGCACAAAGTTTACTGAACAGTCTTTTTTTTATAAGTGATGTATAATTAAATACCGTATCACTGTTATTTCAGGTAACCACACTAATTACCACCCTAATTATTCACAGTAGAGCAGTGCTGGCTGCTTATAATGAGGTAGGTAAACCTAAATGAAAACAGCTTTCAATTAATTTTACCACTTGAAATAACAGCACTTAAATACCAATAAATTTCCCATATTCGTTCAGTATCTTATACTTATAATGGTTTTCGTTTAAAGGCCAAATATTCTTTCAAATATGCAGTAGAAGCTCCTACATATAATGTTGTAAACCACCACTGGGAGGAACGCCATGGAAATCATGTAAGGGGTGGATACGGCCTTCTGGATCCAGACGGCAGAGTGAGGGTGGTGGAATACCAAGTTGATGGACAAAAAGGATTTCAAGCAGTCGTTAGATATCGGCCACCGCCAGGTATGTTAATTAATTAAGACCAGAGTTGTCTTTCCTTCCAATGTAGCTCACGTTTGAATAAGGTCTCAAAATTAATCAACACATCAATATTTTCACATATGCTATCCTAGAAGTGGCTGATTTTAGGTATCTAGGAAGTCAGATAAGTCGGGACGAAAGGAGTAGTAAGGATATAAAACAGAGGTAGCGCAAGGCTGAATCGCCTTCAATAAAAAGAAGTCACTTCTATGCTCGCGAACGGTTAATTTAGAAATTCGAAAAAGGTTGTTAAAGGTGTATGTTTGAAGCGCGGCGTTGTACGGGTGCGAAACATGGTCAGTGGGCGCGGCGGAAAAGAATAGGTTACAAGCCTTCGAAATGTGGTGTTACAGGCAAATGATGAGGATATCGTGGGTAGAAAAGGTTAGAAATGAAGAGGTATTAGAAAGAATAGGAGAACAGAGGACTCTATGGAAGTCAANTGCATTTCGAATTGAAATTAGAATCCGTCTAATTTTGTATTCCATTTTAAAATACAGAAGTTACACAAACACCTAACACCAGTTTTGTAATAATCTGAACGAAATTTAAAATATATTCCAAAATCCAACCGGTCTACCGTACATTCTAAACTTGTTACACGTACACCGTTATCATTCATCTGCTTAATTAAATTTTAACGGCCATTAAACGCCTACAAAACTTACTCAAAATTAGTCATTATTATATAACTGCAACTTTTGCCAAGTGAACTAATTTAGTAATATTATTGTACACTGCACTATCTTACACGCATCTACAGAAAGAAAAAGAAGTAATCTAAAACGAAGATGTATATTAATTGATTGCTTGTATTTAACAGAAACAATTTATAGTTGCGTTTTTGAAAGTTAGGTAATCAATAAATAATTGAAAGACATATACGTCACGTATTCTATTTTTCATCATATTACAACTCATTATCATAGGGTCGTCAGTCCTAAGACTGGTTGGACACGTACCTCCACTCTTTTCTATCCTGAGCTAAACTTCGCATTTTCCTAAAACTAGAACAACCCACATCCCACATCTATTTGCGAACAGTAATCTAATTTAGGTCTACCTCTACCCCTGCTAATTCCTGTTTCTGCCTCTAATATGTCTCTGACTAGACCTTCATGCCTCAGAAGGTGTCCTACTAACCTAACTCGCCTATTTTTTATTGACTTCGATAGAGACCTCTGTTCTCCTATTCTTTCCAATACCTCTTCATTTCCAACCTTTTCTACCGACGTTATCCTCATCATTCGCCTATAACACCACATTTCTTTTCCGCCGCGCCCACTGACCATGTTTCGCACCCGTACAACGCCGCGCTCCAAACATACACCTTTAACAACCTTTTTCGAATTTCTAAATTAACCGTTCGCGAGCATAGATGTGACTGCTTTTTATTAAAGGCATATTGCAACTACTCAAAAAATTTTTACCTAATATCTGCTTTTTCATGGCAAATTATTTGTTACAGCTCCATTAATTCGTGGTCACCTACGCTTCCCATGGGAATATCAGAAACCTGTGTGGTTTGCCAAACCAGTCAGCCTCATTACATCGGATTTATTCAAATCGTCATTGCCTTATCCCTATTTTCGAAATTAAAACGACTAATTACCAATTAATTTAAGAAGTGTTACGAATAAAAATTAGTTCCCTAAAATAGACTGTCGTTATTAAAATATGGTAAAAAAGATAACTGGATGATGATGTGTGGTATGAGAAAATGGGAAAATGTAGGTATAACTTATTAATGAATACAGGGACGAAATTATCATCTACCTTTGATAAAGGGTATTGTAAAAAATGTGCTTATTAAGAGCGTGTAAATATTATTTTTTTTAAACTACCTCTTCTGGAAAGAGTGGAGGTACGTGTCCAAGCAGTCTTAGGACCGACGACCTTATGGTGACGAGTTGCAATATGAAAATAGAATACGTGACGTATGTCTTTCAATTATTTATTGATTACCTAACTTTCAAAAACGCAACTATAAATTGTTTTTGTTAAATACAAGCAACATACACCTTATGTTTGCAGCGCGGCGGTGTACGGGTGTAAAACATTGACGGTAGGCGCTGCGGAAAAGAAAAGGTTACCGGGGAATGATGAGGATACCGTGGATAGAGGAGGTTCGAAATAAAGGGGTATTAGAAAGAATAGGAAAGAGAGCAGAGGTCTCTATAGTAGTCAATAAGAAATAGGCGAGATAGGTTGTTAGGACACCTTCTCAGGCATGAAGGTCTAGTCATACACATATTAGAGGCAGAAACGGGAGTAAGGAGGAGTAGAGGTAGGCCTAGATTAAATTACTGTTCGCAAATATTTAAGGATGTGGGTTGTTCTATTTTTAGGGAAATGCGAAGTGGTGACCAACCAGTTTTAGAACTGAAGACCTTATGATGATGATCCTATCCTCAAATTCCAAAAGAAATGCAATTTTATGAACATTAGTACATGCTTTAGTCTATCTTCTGAAAGTTTATCACAATTTTTGTTATTTATTTATGGTGTACAAACCTAACCTACCCCAAACCACTAACTATTACCCAACTTTGTTTGCAATCTTCGACCCATCAAAATATTTCAAATGATTCGATCTATAGAAATAATTTCTATTTAATTTACTGTATGAGTTTTTACAGATAGTTGTCAAAAAGCTTTTAAACAAGCATCACAGATTTTTCAATTTTTTCTTAATCTATCGTCAAATTGCCGAGAACGACAGACGTAAGAAGCGCTGAAACATACGATACTACAAATAAGAAAACCAAAACCTTAGAATCACTATTCAATTCAGTTTCTAATGTATAATATTTACAATAACTTAATGATAGAATGGAGCGCGGAGGGGAAAAATGTATTAACCTAAATATGTATTAGTATCTACCTAATCCGGTTACTATATTGTAAAGATTGTTTTTTTATATTATGAAGGTATTCATTCCTTTCAGTTTTAGTTACATAACGTATAATATGCACGACCCGTCCGCTTGTACGTCCGTCCGTCTAAACTATCATTTTCATAACCCACATCCATGCAGACTTGTATTGGCATAATGTTTCAGAATCTATCGATAGTATACGTATTCAAACAACATTTATCGGGTCTCTTTCCATCTTTTTCTCTTTATTTGCGTTATGCGGCTTGCATGTAGGTGTTGCAGAACTGCAGCACACCCTATTTTCACTACATGTTGTGAATAAAGTTTAATATAATACGTCCTTTTTGGTATTGAAAATACTACTTGGGTTGTTTATATGGGACCCATCTCATAAAAAATAAAGTCGTCGAGCGACTGACGGTCGATTAATGGATTAATGGGGTCGACGGTCGAAGTTTGGTAAGTCTCTTACTCTAGTTCGCAAGTAAAGCATAAAAGGATAAATATTCGACGATTGAATAATGTCGATGCGTTGCATCTAATAACGTTGCGATCTTTCGTTTTGGTTATGTGAATTCGTTTAATGTACGTTGTTAGTTTGATTAATTGAAATTTCTGAAAAGGACATTTAATTGCCACTATGGCACTGGTTTGGGCCGAAACTGGTTCGAAAAAAATTTTTCTTCTTATGGTCAGATTTTTTACATTTTAGACAGTAGCACAGTTAAGGCCGTCTGGAAGTTTTTTGTCTAAAACTAGCGTCTCGTTTCTATTACTATCTTAATATTTCCATGTAAAAGAGAAAATAATTTTAAACGAGAAATTTCATCTGTTTAAAATTTTTATTTTACACTAATCAAAAANTCAGTATTCCTATCAGGGGCGTAGATTAAATATTTAAAAATAGGGATCAGTGAGCAAGTAATAGACAGACAAACAGAAGAACTAATTGTTGATGTTGGTGACAATGATACAGATTCCCATGATGACAGTGAATGTGAAAACTAACTATAAAACAAATGCAATAGGTTTATTTTCCCTTTTCTGGTAAGTTATGTTTCTACATTTTTTTCTAGTACGCTACTGTCCTATCTGTATTAATACTATAATTTACGCCTACTTAAAGCTTATTTGTGTATCGGTTCCAAGTGACTTACCTAAATAAGTCATAAATGGGCAAGTACCTGCGCGGCGGTTCGCCAGCTTCCTTCGTCAGGCCTGTACTTGCAATTCTCTGAATATAAATTTAAAAATTAGTCACAGTAATTGCTGCTATGAATGAAATTTGAATAGAAGGCTAATTTCTACACCACCATTGAGGTATTGTCATGGTGCGTTACCTTTTTGCGGGTGGTTGTTAAGTAAACTTAAAATAAGTCTTCAAAAATTTTACAGCACGCATTTGCCGAAAACAGTTCTTCAAATCGTGAATTTGCAAGCAAACAAATTTGTCTATAAACACACCCTACGAAAATAATTAAGCTATGCAGCACTTCTCTTTCGAAACCACCGACACAAATACACTCGTGGCTGAGCTGCTCTACCAGTGACTAACCAACCCTAATGATTGATCTTGTTGTATTACTGAATTAGAACTAGAAGTTGGCTGTTAACATAAACACCCTGAATCATACTTAATCTAATCTAACAAATAAACAATACATGAGCAAAAAAAAAAAAATAAAAAACAAATTGTACACTGATGCTGATATTTACCAGCTGACTGAGTGCAGCGTTGCACACCGTTTTCCTTACCAGGGCCGCAAATGAATTTATCTGTACTTTCAACTACTGTTTTCTCTAAAATGGCGAACATTCGAACATACAAACATTTCCTTAATTTTCATGTTTTGTAGTACTCTCTCACCTCCTGCAAGTTTGACACCTATTTCTGTTACCCTTTGTGTACTTACAACCATTGGAAAAGATCTTTATGGGAAGGTTGCAATTCAATCAAAGAAACAAAATAGAAACAGTTAAGACATAGTCCATACAAATAAGCGAGAAAAATCAAGAAAAAAGATTACGTAACAAGAAACGTATTATGCTACCACAACCAGATCATTATTAACTTCTCTAACGAACCCAATTTCCTTTACTGGTTAAATTGCAACTTATATGTATACCTACATATAATGAATCATATGTATATATCATAAAATCCTGTTTGTAATTAATGGCTTACAAGTGCGTTTCCTGTAAATTTTTATCGTAACATGCCATCTTGAGAGTACTGACATATTCTACTCTCAAAAAATCGATTGAAAGAATTTGATTCAGAAAAACCATTTCGCATATAATCTGCCCAACACTAAGACGATTAGATCATAAACCAACAAACATCTACAACAATTTGTATTACAAACAGTTATTACAACACGATAATTTAATAAGAATGATAGAATTGACTCATAAACCTTTTAGATGTACCAATTTATGATACGTTGTTAAATACAAAATTATAATAGTTGCCAGTTGCACCAAGACGTACAATTCATTATGTCTAAATGATATCTAACTGCATATAGTGATAGTAATGAGACACATGTACATAGCAAGATAATTTCATTACTGAACCAGAAACCAAAGAACGGTCATTGTAGTGGATGAACTCAGCTTTGTCAAGATAAACCTGAGTGATGAGTAAAGGAGCCAAGACTGTCCCAGTCGGTCTTCATCTTGGTTTTGCTCATTTATTTTTCTTACTAATTCTTCTAAGAACAAATATTTCTATTTACCGACACAATAATTGTCTTAAATGCCTAAATGCGAGCTATTCATGACTTTTGCAAAAAATAGTGTCAATAGTTGTGAGAGGACATTCTTGTAGATCCCTTTCTTCAAACAGTGGTAAAGTTTATTTTTTTATACTTATATTTAATGTTATACGAGGGTATCGGAATGTTGGTGTTACGATATACCTTCATCGTCTTGGCGATTATGTAGCAAAAATAAATAAAAAATATACTACCTACTCACCAATTGATACTAAAATCGTCTTATCATTTACTTGTGTTTCTTTTGTCTAGCAAGTGTGACTTATCGAAAATTTAAAAAAGTTGCTAATATTACATTTTTTTCACACATACATTAAAGACAACTATACTACAATTTTGTTAAGATTACTGTGTGATTTATATATGAAAAGGAAGGCTTACTTTTCGATAAAATCTATCAGTAAATGTCCATGTTTGATCCTATTAAAGATTGTTCACGCAACACCGTTTTAGTTCCAAACCTAGTCTATACTGAACTAAAACGTGTGTTAAATAGTCGGTTTTGGCATGAAGTTTTAAGACAAGAACGATACTGCGGAGGTGAAGTGTCTGAGACTGCAGTTAAAAGTAAATGAAAATTCATATTATATTTACATATGTAATTGTTGTAATTCCTTTGCTTTTATATTTCACATCAAAAATGTCTTGTATTTGGCATATAAATAATTGGAGTAGAAAACGTTAAAAAGCACGGAAAATTAACGAACATATTCAATTAGTATTAGGTTAGGTTAGGTGAGGAACACATTCCATTAGCGTAAGGCTGGCAAATCGAAGCGTCCAAAAATACGAACCATTTTCCTGATTTGTGGCATGACCGATCAACGTCCAAGGCGCGGATACGGTACGCCGGCGGGAGGCGTAACCTGAGTTATTCAATACAGAAAAGTTCATACAATTTATATCCGAACCCAAAACAGCATAGTGTGAATTATCCTCAAAAATCTGGTTTTGATTTCGATATATGAAACTTTTTACAAGAAATGCAAAAAAAAACCCTGCGACATTTCTATTCTAAATGAATAAATAAAATGAAAGCTTCTAATTTGTATCTTTTCTATCTACTGTTTATTTTAATGGGGTATGTACTCAATTTACATTAAGTATTTATTATTTCCTTATTCTCAGTTATTACCCCCAC